ATACGAGTGCATCAGAGGAGCCTATTTAATATGTTTGAATAAACTTGGGATCGAATGGGAATTTATTTTTTCGGAAAACTTTGAAGCACAAAATGGTCGTTGAATTTAGGTGGCTGGTAGTCAGATAAGTCCGTTGCTTTGGAATGCGCTGCTAGCATTGAAGGTCCTTCTGGCAGTTGTTTAAGAGTTGTCTGGAAGTTTACTATGAGAATTGTTGGAATAATCGCACATTTTTTACGCTGAATGTGGAAGCATCGGTGATTTCCCCACTTCACTTAAACGCCAGCCATTTGCATGAATTCAATCGGCACTTTTTAACGCGAGATTCATAAGGCAATTTGGCATCTGTGAATAGTCTTGGAACGGACTGAGAGCTCATAATACCGGAAGGTTGTGTGGCGTAAATTTCGATCATAGAATATATCTTTACTATATCGGAAGGATGTGTGCAGTCCTTTCTGATGGGATGAACTTTCAAAGTGCGGATAAAGAGGATGAGAAGAGGAAGGCTATTGAAAAGTCCATAACAATACTGCGCGGCCAAAAATAAAAAATAATTTGCGCCGTGATATTCGAATACATTGGACCACGTGAAACGATTAATCCAAGACTTCACGGCCGGCTCAAGCGCATGAGGAAGGCATATCATTAAGACCAGTACTAGCTATGCGCAACTCCCCGTACCACACGACCGCAAACTGCCGAATCAAACGAATGTAACCAGCCCGAAATGCCACAGCCAGGTACGGTCTCAAGGGCACAATTGAGTTTCTCGACTCAGTGAGTCCACTTGAACCAAGCCGACTGAAGATATTCTCACTAAACGTCGTGTCTCGTTTCAACAAGCTTCCATTAAGAGAGATCGTAGACTGTCTATACCAGTTCATCTAATTGCACAACATTAACTTCGGCACCTCACAAGACCGAGTAAGACAACTACTGCCGACATGTACCAGACATATCCAGCTTTCGTTTAATGGACAGCTGTACCGACAAACAGACGAGGTGGCCATCGGTTCGCTGTTGGGCCCGCTACTTGCCGACGTTTTCATAAGCAACTTGGAGGGCAATCAGTTGAAGGCGTCCAGCAACTGTTTGGTTTATTATGGTCTTTGTGCAGATGACATATTTTGTGTCGCAGTTGATGGGGTGTATACTGAAGATCTGCTTGCCCACTTTAACTCCGCGTATAACAACATAAGGTTCGAGGTGGAAGATGACGAGCCTTTGGTCGTTTCAGACGTGCAGATCTATAGGACATGAGACAGGACAATGCGGTGAGCGTGCATTACCAGTACATATTTCCATTTCAGTGCAGATTGTTAGAGACAGACAGCTTTACTTGTACTGTTGGTGAGCCTTAATTTACCGACATCAATACCAGGGCATTATTCATGTGTTGAAACTAAACCACGCGGTGCGCAAACAACGCATAATCGTTCGCAAACCGCAATTAACGGATGGTTTTCGCACTCACTATGGTTATCCCACCGATACTGCAGATGTTCTGCAACCCAGTATCCATACGGTGCTCCACACGAACACCGCACTGACAAGCAGCATTAAAAACGGTACACCGCATCATATTCCTCGCTGAATTCTATAAAGCGAGTACAGTGATTATGCTGCCGGGACATCAAGTAAAAACAAAAAAGGCGCTATATTATCCAGTGTGTGGGCTGCGAGACTCAGAGTTCAATTACTGCCCACAATGTAGCAGGACCCAGCCATTCGTAATCGAAGTGCAACTGGCTTAAAGTGAACAATGTTCTTTCGTAAACCAGCAGCCCTACGTGGTGATTCATTTCACCCGCAACACGAACGATTGTGACAACTGTGCTTTGGCCTTCATGGGTCGTAACGAACTCTCATAGGCCCGCTTTGTCTTTTCTCCTCTTGTGGGTGGTTGGGAATCGCGTGGTCACGTGATCGTGTGCGCCGCTCTAGCCGTGTGTTGCGTGTGCGTCTAATTCTCGCACGTCTACAGTCGTGTGCATATCGTTGTCTGACTTCGAAGTCTCAGCGTGTCACCAGGATATCTGCGTGAATAGGGAACGTGCTCAGGTTGCGCGTTACTTTCGGTTAACCTAACGCGACCAGTTTTGCGCAAATGTGTTACAGTGGCGATGGTAGAGCTCTCGAACCATGACAGATGAATACTCCGACTTGAAACTTATGCTGCAGCAGCAACTCAATTTGATGTCGATGGTAACCGAAAAAATTTCCGGTTCTTCTCTTCACGCAAGTCAGATAGGCAATTTTCATTCAGTGAACCATGTCGTTAGCGGCATCAATGAATTCCTGTACTCCGCCAGGGCTGGAGCAACGTTCGACTCTTTTTACAGGCGATACAAGGACCTGTTCACCGGTTGACCTGGCCGGCCAGGATGGCGCGTGGAAGGTCCGAGTGCTTCTGCGCAAACTAGGTACGCTCGAACACCAACGCTTTACCAAGTTTATCTTGCCGAAGAACCCACGAGACGTTACCTTCAACGAGACAGTCTGAAGCTTGTCCCGTATTTTCGGCGAGCAATCCTCCCTGTTCAATGTCTGTTATCAATGTCTGTGGCTGGCCAAGCGTGATGCCGACGACTTCATCACGTACGCCGGCGTGTTCAACAGTGAATGTGTTTTTAACTTGGTTCGCTCACAAATGACTTATTCAAATGCTTGATCTTCGTCTATGGTCCCCAGTCTGCACGTGATACCGATATGCGGAAGCGCCTCTTATGTAATCTGCAGCAGGATAGCACTGTCACCCTGCAGAACCTGGCCGAGGAGTGTCAAATACTGCTCAACCTGAAGCACGATTCTGCCATGATCCAGTACGCCGCCTCACCTGGTAAGGTCCAGGCAGTCGCAGCAACTAGGGCGCATTCGTCCGTGCACCACACTAAATCCGACTGAGCGAAGTACCCACCCTACGAGTGCCGATTCTGTGCTGCCTGGATTTTCCACCGGGACTACAATTGCCACCAGCACCAATGCCAAAGTTGTGGCAGGGTGGGGCACCGTGATGGTTATTGCCATTCTAGAACTCCCAAGGGGGCAAAAACTGGACTAAACCCCACCCGCGATTCAAAGAAGACGACCTGACCCCGACGCAAACCCAAACCTGATCAGGTTGGCAGCTCCCTGAGCCTGCTGGCCACGTTGCAAATAAACGCTGCGGATCGTAGAAAATTTGTCGATGTGTTGATAAACCGTCAGTCCGTCCGATTGCAGTTGGACACTGCACCGGACGTCACGATGATCTCCGAGGATCTCTGGCGATCCCATGGCAAGGCTCCATTTTAACCGACCTCCCAATCAGCCACCAGCGTCTGTGGTAGTCATGTGCGACGAACTGGGCAGCTACAGTGTTCCGTCTCATTTCGATGTGTCACCTGCAACGAAATCTGCTACATCAAGGACGGTGAGCTCGACCTACTTAGACTCGACGGGCTCGAAACCTTTGTTGTGGAGGGTCTGCCTCTTGGGGCCATCTGCAACGCGGTACATTCACTGGCAGTACCAAGCGAACCAACCGACGACACCACCGGACAGGCCGCCCCGTGTTTCAGGTTGGTTACCAAGCATCTCTAGATGCCGCCACACCAACCACCAGTTCCTTGGCAACCGACAGAAAAACCGTGGTCTCGAGTGCACATCGACTACGCTGGTCCGATCGATGGCATCTCCTACCTGCTCGTGGTCGACGCTTACTCCAAATGGCCTGAAGTGGTCGCCGTCAACCCACCAACCGCATCCGCCACGCTGGGTTGTCTACAACGAATCTTCAGTCAACATGGCCTTCCCGACGTTTTGGTGTCCGACAATGGCTCCCAGTTTACGTCTTCCATGTTCGAAGACTTTTGTCGCCGGCATTGCATCCAACACCTACGCTCACCGCCCTACCATCCCCAGTCCAATGGTCAAGCGGAGAGGTTTGTCGACACCTTCAAGAGGGCACTCTTGAAATCTCGTGGGGAGGGGACCGTGGATGAATGCCTTCAAGCGTTCCTGCTCTCTTATCGGTCCACACCAAATCCAACCACTTCAGGATACCAATGCTCAGCTGAAGCATTGATGGGCCGCAAGCTACGCACCACAAACGAAGCGCTCATCCCGACCGAAAAGCCACCAAGTCAATCTACTGCCTGCACCAAGCACAATGAATTCGTCGTTGGCGTCCCCGTATACGCTCGCGACTATCAGGCAGGTCATCCACACTGGATCAAAGCAACAGTGACGGCCCGTCGAGGTGACATGCTGCATGATGTCTCCGTGGGTGATGACACGTCCCAAAGACGATGAACACGTTTAGTTGGACACACTTGATATGGCGAAGCGCCGACCTCAAGGGCGTTTGTGTTGTGAGTTTCTTTGTCCATCCCCCTCTTCTTTAGCTTCTCCCTCCCATTACAATCACATAGCAAATGAACAATATGATATTTAACGTTATAGCACTTTTTTGAAATTTTGTAGTGTAATTTTTGTATCTTATGTTTTTGCATTGGGGCACATTAGCTATGGTCTCTTTCTCACCCTCAGCTAACGTGTATTGATGGTGATGTTAATTTCACATCCGATGTTCCAGCTTGCCGAAAGCCGGAAGTAGTAGTCTGTGGCCATAGCCCTACGGGTAAAATACAAACACAATTCAAGGGAAATTATCTGGTCTAAAGATATGGGGATGAAATATTCATCTAAATCAAGATATCGTACTTCGCATAAACACGAAGTGATAAACGGACCGTACGATGGTTATCGACAGGAAGAAAGGACACCGCCCGGCATTGCGCGGTAGACGAACCGAACAATCGATAAACGCCGCCTCAAATGTGCAAGCTGGTCGTTGCGACCGGCAAAACAAGCGCCTATCAATCTGTTAGTTTATCGTTGTTGATAGCAGACGAGGTTCACACGGTTTAGTGAGACGGGTCATTTGTCTTTTTCTGAAATGCCTCCGACCAAACGCCAATATTTAGTCGACTCCAACGGACCGATGTCGCTGGGCCTCATGTAAAATGCATGCCAAAGGATACCAGTAATTTGCAAGGGAGAGAATGCAAATAGAAAGGCGAGTGGTGCCACTTACAAATATCTATCAAATTTCCATCCAGTTGGACGTCCAATGCAGTAGAGTTCGAGATTATCGTTTCCGTAGAGCACTGTGGATAATGAACATGGTTCTCACTTGACATCGATGGAACGACAACCAAGGCCGGTGGGAAATCACTCGGGCTGTGGACCACATCTGGAGCCCTGTGGGCAACAACTTCAGTCGGTTCGGTCAGGCGCGCTGGTTTGCTGAAACGGTAGACTGAATCGCGTAACAAATGGGTAGGAGTCACGTGATGTGTGTCCTGGAACATCTGGGTCAAGAGACGTTGAGTTTCGGCATCTGTAAACCCGGAAGTTGGTAATGATAGCACCAATGTAAAACAGATACTATGTTCTGTGATCAACATGACGGGGTAGCGGCGATGAACAGGGTGGCAAAGAAGTGCAAGAAAGATAACAGGCTGCGTAGGGCGCGGAGACACTGCTGGTGACATTAGACGATGGTTGAGGTGACTATAAATTCATTCATTTCTCCACAGTATTGTCAAACAGTTTACGCGAAGATGCACCACATGCACACTTCTGGTAACTAGGCTCGAGAAGTTAAGTCATGTAGTATTGGCCAATATGCCATAAGGACTGTCCAAAGAACCAGCACACGTCCACGGAACAAATGAACGATTACCTGACCACACAATTTAAACACTTCGGGTGATCGAAAGCCGATGTTTAAAACAAATTCTAACGGAACGTCTGAGTTGGAGGCTGATGCCGCTAGTCTGATAGATCAGTTCAATATCTCATACGCTTCAGTGAAGGTCACGGGTTAATTGAAAACAAAAGTAGCTTTCCTAGGCCTGTTAAGATGCAGGAAGGACGCTAGTGCATTTCACAGAAACACTTAGAAAAAAACCATTTACATAAGCCAAAGCACGAACTTCGTAGCTTTGTAACTTCAAAGTACATGTGGAATTCGGTTCGTCGACGGAATAATCTTGTCACTAAAAGTTGTAACCCGGAAACATTCGAAGAAGAAAAAGACAACGCTCCAAGGACACTGTAACATAACAGTTAACCCGCCGCTTTCACCAGAAGACACTTTATGGTTTGTGACCGAGATGAAACGAACGTGAGTGCGCTACTGAGCAAGAGACAGTCGAATGTAAAAGCCGAATGGCTCCAAGCTGCCTACCCACAAATTGCTGACGAAACTGCCCCTTTATTATCCGGCGTCCCAAGGATAGACTCCCGGTCCAACCAATAACTATATTCTGTGCTAATTTATTTCCACCAGGGCGTTGGTAGAGTGGATAAGAAGAACACTGCCCAGCAGCAATGTTGAAGCGGAGGGCTTGAATTATTAACCGCTCTACGTTGATATATAGTCCGAAGCCAGTAGCGAATTTTGGTCATGGCCGTCTTCAAAGGACTCAACGCCTACTAAGCGACGGCCGAATCCCTTGTGATAAAGCTAACGTAGCCTGGATTATGCAAGCAGAAAGAGGTGGTGCAGGTCCTTCTATTGTCATGACAGGAGAGTGATTGTCGTTCACTTCAGGCATAGGCGACGATTTAGGTAGTCGCCAGTAGTACATTGGACGGATTGGCTATTGTGTAGTATATATATATATATATATATATATATATATATATATATATATATATATATATTTCCTTGTAGATGAAAAACGCCTGATGACAATAATCGGATGGAAATTTCGCCGCTGGCTTAAATATCCACACGCACATGGGCGTAGTTCACAGTAAGCATATGAAGATTTACCAACATCACTCATCGTGGACGGTGTTCACAAGTGAAGGTGCGCTATCACTGGATGTGTGGCAAAGACAACCGCATAAGAGTAGTAGCTTAATGGGCGATACGGAAAGAACACGACAAGATGAGAACCGTTAAGTATAGGATTTCCCACTGTGGGGTAAGCCACGACGGCACAACCTAGAAATGAGATAAAGTAGACATTTCCTGACTAACCAATTAGCTCCTTTATTCCTCCTGCAAGGTAATCCGTTGGTCGTTGACATGCTTCACGTGTTAGTGTGCCGACGCCGAATAGCGTATGAATTGAACGCAACCTCAAATCAATGAGAGTCTTGAAGCGTTCGACTTCTTCCCCTTTGAATATCTGAACTGCTAATAATGGGACTTACTCCGTTCAGCTTTACTGAAAGTGCTAGTAGAGCCACTTGAGCAATGAAAACAGTCGACAACGTTTGCAAGAGATGGCAGAAATAGCTGAATCCTTTAACACGGACGGGGCGATAAAAGCTGTCGACGAAGCTAAAAGGTGGAGCAGGCCCTTAGTTTCAAAATGGGAGAGTTGCCCGCCGTCACTCAGTCATCAGCTTTTACACGCGAGTGGGACACCGTTTTAGGCAGGTGTTGCGGGGTGGTGATAACCAGTGGACGAAGTAAAGTCACTGTGCCGTGCCATCAATGAGAGTAGACATCAAGTGCCACTCAAACATCACATCGATCCCAGTAATTAACTAAAGGGGCTTTCCGTATCGATCCACATACTCAATGAGGTGCAGTGACACCAAAGAACGGGACTGTTGCAAATACGAAAAACCAAGTTAACCCATCGTGAGCCTTTGGTGAAAACAAAGAAAATCATTATTGAAGTCTTTCACTTGCGAATGAACTGGCACAAGTTCAGGTGGGGGAGGACGTCAGGGCTAAAATGTCTAATCGTCTGACAGAGAAAGTGAATGGAATGGTATGACAAAACAAAGGGGGTTGACAAAGAACAGAACAGAACTTTTATGTGAGCATGCTTACTCAAGGTATCCAGAGGTGACTCGTGTTTTGGACTGCATGCAGTTTCGTGGGAGGTGAAAACAGCCCCATTTGTAGCACTGTCGGGATGGTCAGAATTCGAGGAATCCATTGTAGTGATGTGGGACTTGATATCCTCCGGTAGTCTTGTTCGACGTAAAAAAACGGATAGCACAATACATGTCATCTTTGGACAACAAGAAGAGATGGCTACAAGACAAAACCTGCGCAACACTTCTAAAATCCAGACTGATCAATAGACGAAGAATAAGTGACCACAGGTTAGCCATTAATTAAGTTTCTAGTGTACCTCAAAATAACCCACAAAATCCATCATTAACCGTTTTGCCAAGCGCTGCCCGTCGTGACCCGGTGGCTTACCGGTAGCGGTTACAAGTAACAACGCAATGGTCCCGGGTTCGATGTCTTCCATCTCTACCTTTGGGATGAAATAACATCGAAACGCGTCCTAGGAGTGCAGTATTTTCGGGCGGGCAACATCCGATTTCCATAAGTTTCTAGTTGTCTGTTAGGTGAGAAAAATACTAACGACAAAGCCAGAAGACGGATTGGTGAAGTTTGCCATTTTTCGAAGAAGTCAATTGGTGGCGAACATAAGCACCAAATGTTCAGCAGCCAAAGCAAATGGTACAGCGGGAAATAGTCCAGTGTGTAGAACATATATTCGGAAAAACCATGTGTACACAAAA